AATATTTACTTTCCAATATCCCATTCTTTATATAGTAGTTACTAAAGAATGTCACGTATCATAAATTCTACGTGGCGCAGCTTGGCGATTTTTTTTGAGATATTAAATTTCTCCATAATGTATTAGGCTGGATATAGGGGCAATTTTTCTAGGTATATGAAAACATATAAAATTGGGTTCAATCCTATGGTGTGGCACTCACTGGGTTTATTTGTTTCGATATAATGTTGTCGCTGATATCCCGAAGTATTTTGCTAGTGTAGATACAGCTGTGGACAATAAAATCTTTCAAATCTAAAGGCGATATACTCATACTCATGGATATTTTTTCCCTAATATTAATTATCACCATGTGGTTATTTCTTTTCAACGCTGTCAACAACAAACTATCATTTTTAATAGACTGCCTGTAAGTTACACTGGCAATCCAGTCATTATTATTAAACTTTTTAGATGTTATATTAGACTGAGGATTAATTAATTAAAAGTATAAGTTTCAAAACCATAATTGCGTCTGGTAACATCAAAATATGCAATATTAGGGAAAAGGAACATACAAATGTTGGAATCAGATTAGCGGAGTTAGGCGGAACAACAGTAAAGTACATCTACAGAGTAAGCGTTGCAAACATTATAGTCCATTGCTGTACTGTAAAAAGGTATTTATTTTCACTAACTTAGAAAGAGTTAAAGTTCAATAACATTAATTTAAGCAAAACATATATTTGGACATATCAGTAAAAAATGATGTGAAATATTATGGGTGACCCTATAGACGAAGTCCGGGGAGAAATATAACTGTACACTTTTGGAGATCGATGAATATTGTCCCTAGTCTCTAGAAAGTAATTCTAAAAAGGGGACGACACAGAGTCCCATCGGGAGAAGCTTTTGATTTATGATGACACACCGTTATTGAGAAAAAATGTAAAACATTTGTTGTTGCAAACTGAAGAAAAGTCCCATTATTTTAGTCCAAAGAATTTGTATGTGCTTGACCTACTAATTTGTAACACCCTGTAAATTAAAATTATTCTGTTATGTGTCAAAATATCAAAATGTAGTTAAAAATAGTATATTGTACAATAAGTGCGGTAACACGAGAGCGGAATTGGGCAACTCATCAGTTCAAGTGAACAATAGATAACCACACGAATTGCACATACTATTTTTTATTATGAATGCAGTAAAATCTTAGAGTCCCGGGGCGAAGGCCCGGTGGGATCCACAGATTTTCATTCAGTTTAGGTTGACATAAATAACTATTAACTGTCATTTAAATGTCACTTTTTAAAAATAATATTTTCGAGTGTGTATTTAAATGATTACCGCAAATAAATAGGGTAGGCAAACAGCTATTTACCGACTTAAAAAACAAGCGAAAAGATAGGACTTATCCCTCATGAGTAATACAAATGCTTTAATACATGCAAAAAGAGAAATTCTTAAATCAAGTGTATTTATATACAGGGTGTCCCAGTACTTGATACAAAAAATTCGAGTATATTATATGTATATGATGAGTTCAAAGTAATATCAGTTCTTCATATAAAATTTTTCCATACGGTCCTTCGTTAACAAGTTACGGGCCCTCAAAGTTGAAAATTAAAATCTTATTTTTATTTACAGTCTCTAAACTATTAACTTCAGCATAATGCAAATTTGGTGATCGATAACACATTCGTACAGCTTGTTTTTGATGTAGTAAGTGAATCTTCATTATGCCCAGAACGCCAGGGACGGACTATGCCCAATGGTTAACAACCCCGAATTTTTGCATAGATGTCGATCACAATCTGCCTGTATGATTAATAAATTCTCTGAAGAATTTGCCAACTCAACTCGGTAAAATGAACAGCTTAGGAAATATTTGTGATTTTATGTCACAGTACACTCGAGCGGCGCCTCCACCATTTTTAATTGGAATTAATTACTATGTTACAAGCGTACATATTTTTAAAACAAGAGCCTAGAAAATATTACTGTGTGCTAATGTAATTGTCACTAACAAAATTTGATAAATACACTTTACACTTAACACAAAATAGAAAAACGAAACAAGAATATCTATGTTAAACTAAGTTAAAAAAATAATTTTAAAGAAGAAAGACTATCAAAATAC